TGTGCACTTACTCATTTAGTCCTTTGCGTGACCCCACAGGCGGCCTGGGTCATTGCCGTTCCCACTGTAGAGACGGGAAGACTGAGGCTGAACCGGCAAGTTAAAGCAGTCACCGGGGAACATGGCCGCTAGAGAAGCCCCCGGCCCAGCACTGACCGACTGACCAAGGGCCCTCACGGGTCCCTCTCAGGGCCTCGGTGCCCCTCTAGCCATGAGGAGGGGGCGCCCCCTGACCTGCAGCTGATCCCAGGGGTCCTTGGCCCGATTCGAGCCCCCTCCCCCTCCAGCTGGCAAGGCCCCACCCCCCAGGCTCAGGTCCCTGCGCCACCTCCTCCCCTGCACCCTGCAGAGGCCCCCCTGCACCCACCCAGATCCTGCCACGGAGCCAGGACGGTGGCGATGGCCCTTCTAATTGCAGCCGCGCTCCCAAAGCCACGCTCGGTTATCACACAGGGTGCAGACCTCCAGCTCCGTCCCCGCGTCCCAGGCCCCGGGGCCAGCTCAGGAACGGAGGGAATTAATTACATTTTCCCATCCCCTTCTTTTAAAGTAGGGGAGCGCGCCCGCGCGTCCCGGGGGAGGGGGGCGAGCAGAGGCTGAGGAAGGGGGGTCCCCACCCCCGAAACCAGCCAGCCTCTCCCCAGCGGGCGGAAGGGAGGGTGAGGCTGGCCCCTTATTGATTTAGTCTGGTCCGGGCTGGGACTGATTTGGAGCAGAGGGAGAGGAAGGGGCTGGGGGGGGCGCGGGCAGGGGTGGGGGGGAAGGGAGAGGAAGGGACGGCTGTCAGTCAGCCTGACGGACAGCCCCGAGATTTGCCTTCAGATAAAACCTTACAGATGTGGAGGTCGGTATTGATTTTGAGTTAGTAACGGTAACGTACCAAGAAGTAATACATTAGCAAAAGCAAGGTCACCGAGAAGGAGGCAAACCCACCCGGGGAGAGGCGCGGCATTCTTGAGGGGGTGGATTACCGCACCAGGCCAGGACTTCCTCAAGTTCAAAAGTTTGCAGGCCCCCAGCCTCAGCCGGGCCCCTCACCGTGGGCAAAACGCTTCCCGCTTCTGTGGGCAAAGAGGGACTCCCAGAGGTCCCTGGGCGAGCCCGAGGCTGGCAGAGGGCCACCTGGGCTGGCGGGGCTCTGAGCAGCTCAGCTCGGCCCCCGGTGGGGAAAGAGCAGAGCTGGGCATCCAGGAGATGCACGCAAGTCCCCGCTGCGTGACCTCAGGGGGGTCTGTTTACATCCCCTTGCCTCAGTTTCCCCGTCTGCAGAATGGGGGCAGTAATAGCCCATTTGCTTGGGGAGCCCTGGAAGTGACCAGGGTTCGGCCGGGGCCTGGCTTTCTCGGCAGCACCCCCTCCCTCCTCTCCACTTGGGTCCTGTCCCATTTGCTTGGAAGCAGCTCTGCCTGGAAACAGGGGGTTGGATGAAATGGAAGCCCTTTGATCCGCAGGCCTCCGGGGGCTCTGGGAGAGACTGAGCCGATAGCTCGCATCCCCCATTCACACCTACCCCAGATGTGGATTTGATTTGATGTTCCAGGGCAAATCCCATTGAGCAAATCCCATTACAGGAAAAGCTCCCTGGGCCCAATCTGTTTCTGAGCTGCCTGTTAACGGCCAGGGTCCAAGGCCTTCTGAGCCACTGGGCACCACACAGGCCCCTTCTGACAAAGGGCTGCGGGACGCCTGGCAGCTGCCAGGATTTTTCTTCTCAACGTTGACCTTCTTGCTATTTCTTATACCTGCTGGGTGTGTTCCCACCCCAGGGCCTTTGCACTTGCAGATGGCCCTGCCTGGAAAGCTCACCTGCACATCTTCCCATGGCTAGTCCTTTTCGGTCTTGCTGGATATTCCCTCACGGGTGTGTGGGGGGTGTCTTCCTGGCTCCCCACAACCACCACATGCCCTTATTTGTCCTCCACAGCATTTAGCAGGATCAGAAATTAGGTTATTTATCCACACACTTGGTTGTTCTCAGTTTCCCTGGGTAGGGTGTGGAATCAGCATCGTCCATTGCTCTGTCCCCAGTGCCTGGCTCAGGGTCTGGCACATAGTAGGTGCTCACTGAATACACATGGATTCAACAGAGCTTTTCCCAGATCACGGTGTGGGCTGTGGGCGGTAGAGATGGTCAAACACGTTCCGTCCTGCCCTCAGAGAGCCCCGCCGCCTTATCTAGAGCTCCGCACACGGTGGCACCCTGAGAAATGTTTGTTGAATGAATAGATGAAGGAAGGAGGGGAACGCCACTTGGCATTGCTGGGCTGTGCGTTACAAGGTGGGAAAGCAGGGAGGAGTTGGGGCAGGCAGGCACAGGTCCCATCACAGGAAGCCTTTACGGGGAGGTTCTGGGAGCCACCGGTCATTCTTGAGTGGTGCGGTCCCTTTGGTGGCCGTTGTGCGCAGATCTCTGTCTTACAGACTGAGTACGGGGTCCAGGCACAGCTGCAGCCGGTTCCAAAGCAGCCTGGTCCTCGGTCCCCATCCCTCCTCTCCCAGGGGGAGGGAGCAGGCTCCGTGTTTGTGTGGGGCGGGCAGTGGAGGGGGATGAATCATCCATTCCTTCTCTTCTCCTTCCTTCCTGCCTTTTTCTTTTTCTTTTTAATTTTTTTGTGGTGCAGGGATTGAACCCAGAGCTTTGTGCTTACTAAGCAAACGCTGTGCCACTGAGCTGCATCTCCAACCCCAAACCAGGCTATGATCTCTCTATTATTATTTCCCCCGGTGCCGGGGGTGGAAGCCAGGGCCTCGTGCGGGCAGAGCGGAGGTGCTCCACTGGAGCTCGGCCTGCAGCCCTGGGTGGACGGTGAGGCCTCTCCAGGACCCTTTCTAGCTCCCTCTTGAGAACCCAGAGACACACAGTAGTTCCTGGACGCCTCGGTGGGATCCCCGCAGCTAAGGAGATGAGGCCAGCCAGGCCACAGCCCAGCAGTGCCCTGGCCCTGGCCCTGGGAGTGGGGACGAGGGACTGGGCAGAGGTGGAGGCTGCTGGGAACACAGGAGGAGCCCGGGACTCTCTGCTCTGGGAGCCTCGGCCTGGAGGGTCCGACCTGACGCCTTGCCACAAGCTGGGGCGGGGAGCCTGGGCCGGGGAGCCTGGGCCTGGACAGCTGGCCTGCAGACCTGCTCTGAGATCTGGGGCAGCCCCGGCCTCTGCAGGCCTCAGTCTTTTCTTCTGAGAATTGGGCATCCTGGCTCCGCCCCACTCGTGTCCGCGGGGTTCTGGATTGGGCAGGTAGCGTGGTCAGTGGTCAGGAGGAGGGGAGGCAGGAAGGACGGCCACCAAGGAGGCAAAGCCTGTTCCACGCCGAGATCACTTCGTCCTCGGCTACCCTGGTGTCAGGGCACCAGCACCCCTTTCCCTGAGGATTACAGACGGTCACAGCCGTTGAGGGACACCCCCGAGGTTCCTACAGGAGGGATCCAGGCCTCTGCGCCGGCCCCAGCAAATCCTGAGGCCATGCGCGTACGGGGCAGGTGGGCTCTTCAGGAGGTGCCCGCAGCCTGCTGTCCCCTGAGGGAGGTGGCCGGGAAGTCAGAGAACAGGGCCGTGCATCTGGAGCCTCTGCCCCGAGCAGGGCTGGTGATAGCAGAACTGTCCCCACCTGGCGCCCTCCCTCCCCAAGTGGGTGGCCTTGGCAGGAGGTCACTGGAGTCCTGGGCCCTGCAGGTGGCTCGTCTGCGTCTGTCCTCCCCTGGTTTGGTGGGGACGCTGCCCTCTCATTCCCCAGGGTCTGCCCTGGCGCTGCCTTCTTCTGCTGTCCCCTGGGGCCACTCCTCAGCAGGTGACTCTGCTTAGAGCTGTCCTGGACCCCTGAGCTGGCGGGATGCCCTCGTGGGCTCCTCGGCCCTGAGTTGTCTCAGCCCAGTCCCTCAGTGCTCCATTGCCCTGATGGCCTTTGTGTGTCACGAGCCCAAGCAGGCCTGGACCCTTCCCTCCATTCCCCACCCGGGGCAGGGACCAGGACTCTGTCCTCTGAAGTCCCAGGGCTCTGAAGGCCGGGCCAGCTGTGAGCGGTGCCTGTTTGTTGAATGAATAAGTGACCTTCCTCCCGACATCCCAACCATAGCCCCTTTAAGCTCAGTTTCTACAGACAAGCCCCACATATCAGTCCCAGGGCCAGTGCTGAGGGGACATCCCAGTTGCTGTCCCCGGGGCCAAGTAGGGAGGTGGTGATGGTCACAGACATCAGGGAGCTGCCAGAATCAAAACAGGGCCCCCAAGAAGCTACCTTAAGCACTGGCTGCTGGGCCACACACACCTGCAAGCCTGGCGACCTGGGGAGCTGAGGAGGAAGAGGGCGGAGGTTCAAGGGCAGGTTCAAGGGCAGCCTGGGTGGCTCAGCAAGACCCTGTCTCTGAATAAGGTAAAAAGAGCTGGGAATGTGGCTCAGTGGTAGAGCCCAGCTTCAGTCCCCAGTAACCCTGCCCCCCCCAATAAGATACAATAAAAGCACCCGCCACATGCTGAGGAGGGGCAGGGGCAGGGGCAGGGGGCGGGAAGGCCGGGGAGTTGAGGGCCAGAGACCAGCCAGCCTCCGCAGAGAGGTGGGTGAAGCCGGGCCAGCGTCCTGCACCGCAGGGGTGGAGGTCGGGCCTTCCCGGTCTGGGGGGGGGAGTGCCGTCCTGAACCAGGGGGAGCTTCCCGACGAGGGGGAGACCCCGCACCCCATTAGTTCATTCATTCACACACACATCGCTGGCCCCTGTACAGCCAGGCCCGGGGTGACCCCTGAGCCAGGCCATGGGGACAAAGAGGTGCGCCAGGGCCTGCCCTGCCCTAGACTCTCTCAGGGGAAGGGGGACCCCTGAGCTGGGCCGTGGGCAGGAGAGCAGTAGCCCTGTCGCTCCCAAGGGACCCAGACCAGGTAAAGGGGGAGCAGGAGGCCGCAGGGACCTCAAGGGGTCTGCTCCAGCACAGGCCGCCCCGCGCCCGCCAGGCCAGGCCCCAGCGCCCTCCGTCCTGGCGGGCCGGTCCCGGCACTGACGTCTCTCGGCAGGTGATGAGCATCCTGAGCAGCCCCAGCGCCGTGCCCCCGCAGCCGCAGGCCGACTTCTCCATCTCCCCGCTGCACGGCGGCCTGGACTCGGCCTCCTCCATCTCGGCCAGCTGCAGCCAGAGGGCCGACGCCATCAAGCCTGGAGACAGCCTGCCCACCTCCCAGTCCTACTGCCCGCCCACCTACAGCACCACCGGCTACAGCGTGGACCCCGTGGCCGGCTACCAGTACGGCCAGTACGGCCAGAGTGAGTGCCCCCGGGCCCCTGGGGTGGGGGTGGGGCCACCTCACAGATGGGCAGACCCAGGTCCAGAAGGAGCCGGGCCTCAAGTCCAGTCGTCTCCTGCCCGGGCCCCGGTGCGACTCCTCCAGGACACAGCCCCGAATGCTCCGTAGCGTTTCCTAGCAGTCGCATCTTCAAACGGCGAAGAGAGAGCGGAATGATCCTTACTGGTGTATTTTATTGAACCCGATCTACCCGAAAGATGATCACTTCAACATGTAATCCACATAAAATTATTATTATTTTTTAAATTTTTAGTTGTAGACAGAATAGCTTTATTTTAGTTATTTATTTATTCATTTTTATGTGGTGCTGAGGATGGAACCCAGGGCCTCACATGCGCCAGGCAAGTGCCCCCCACGGAGCCCCAGCCCCAGCCCTTATACGATTATTAATTTTGGGTTTTGCATTATGTCTTCCATGCTGGGCTTTGATATCTGCTGCGTGTTTTACCTGATGGCACTGTGTTTTATTTTATTTCATTTCGTTTTGTTTTTCCATTTTAATTCAGACACTAAACTTGCATCAGAAGCACAGCCCAGGGCTGGGGACAGCTCAGGAGCAGGGTGCCGTCTGGCACCTGAAGCCCTGGGTTCACTCCCCATGATGGCAAAAGAACAGAAATGCTCTCTCCATATTTAAATTTCATAAAGTTTACAATCGAGAAGTAGATTTACACACTCAGGTGGCTTCAGATAGACTGACAAGTTTCCCAACCATGAAATAACTAAGTTGACGATGGGTTTTTAAATTTAAATTAGATAAAAACTAAACAAACCTCTGAAATTTGGCTTCCTGGCTGCGCCAGCCACCGTTCGAGTGCTCAGTAGCCAGCGTGTGACTAGTGGTGGCCAGCTTGGTGGCACAGTGTGAGATCCTGCCCCGTGCTGTCCCCAGGCTGGGGCAACTGTGTTTGAATCTGGCATCCAGCCCAACTCCTCAGCCTTGGTGTTCCCAGCTGCCATGATGTCCCCTGCCCGCCCCCACTGCCATCCTCTCAGTACCTCATCTGCAGACAGGGGACAGGAGACTCTCAGACCAAAGGCTGGGGAGGGCAGACCTGGCCACGGCCTCTGGCTGCCCAATGGGGCCAGCGGCAGGGCAGGCCCAGACGGGACAGGGGTCAGAGGTCACCGGGGCCCCTCCTGCCCTACCTCCCGGCAAGGGCCTCACCTGCTGGTGTCAAACTAATCAGAAGGCGAAGGGAGGGGGCGAGGCCCCCCGACCCCGGGGCGTCCTCTCCACCCGCCCGGCCTGCGCACTGCTTCCTGCCCACTCCTCTCCTGTGGCCTTGGCCTCCCTGGCTAAATGAAGGCCAGCTGCCTCGGCCTTGCCCAGCCAGCTGTGCTCATGGCCCTGCCCGTGTGTGAACCCGCTCCTGTGCACACATATATTTGGGTGAGTGTGGCGGTGGCACCACGGGTGGCCCAGTTCAGGCTTGTGTGCACGTGACGTGTCCTAGTACGTTGGCATTTGCGTAGAGCGGGTGAGGTGTGTGTCCGTGTGTAAGGCACGGTGAGCACGTGGGGGAACGTGGGCGTGCGACTCCACACACACCTGCTTAGGAAGGGCGTCGTGTGCGCACGGTGCACCTGTGGGTCTGTGTGCACGGACATGCGTGTGCACCAATGCACGGGCGTCTCGGTGGCAGTCACGCACGCCCGTGTTTCAAATGTGCCTTCAGGTGTGTGCGTGGGGTCGAGCGAGTCCGTGTGTGCGCGTGCACTTGGTGTGCGCGTGTTCGTGTCACGGCGTGGTCCTGCAGAACGAGCAGCCGTGTGCAGGTGTGCATACGTGTGCGCCGCTGTTCCTTCAGGTGTGAGTATGTGTTTGAATCTGTGGGGGGGGACGCGTGTGGCGTGTCTGTGTGTGACCGTGCGAATGTGTGTGCATGGGAGCACGTGTGTGTGCTCACGAGCAGAGTGCACTCGTGTGCACGGGAGTGCTCCCAGAGGGGCCCTGGCGACCCGCTGACCCAGCGCATGTCCCTGCACGGAGCGGGACACATGCTCTTGATCAAGAGCCGGCCCGGGGCAGGCGTTAGTCACACCCGGAGCCCGTGCCCTGCTCCAGGGGCGCCTGCCCAGCTCGGAAATAGAATTAACCCCAGAGTCAGCGCGGGGGAGCGGGGGAGGGGATCAAAAGGGAAGGGGCCCAGGAGGCGAGAGGAGCCCTGTCCCTTCTCGCTCCTCCTCCTCCCCCTTCCTCCTCCTGCCCCTCCAACTCCAGTTCCCTGTTGGGTCCTCCAGGGAGAGCTCGGAGCTCCTCTTGGGCCACCCTCCCCAGCCCCACCGCTGCTGCCCGCTGGCGTGGGCTCTTGACGCCTGCAGCCTCAGTCCTCCCACCTGTGAAAGGGGCTGGGACGAGGCTCCGCTGCCTTCCAGTTTCCTATGGGGCCTTCTCCCTTGCCCTTGGCTTCTTGGGCAGACTCCCTTCTCCACTCTAACCTGCCCCCTGTCCCCAGGCCACTGACACCCTGCGGCTGGGCTCTCGTGGTGTGTGTCAAGAGTCACGCATTCTGAGCTTGCCACGTTGTGCCCAGGGTCACCTGTCCCCACGAACACCTGCCTGTGCATGAGTCCAGCCCAGGGGACACCGGATGAAATCCATGTTCCTTGTTCATGAACTTCTCAAAGCGATTTGTCTCCAACTTACAGATTTAAAAACTAGGCTCAGAGAGGCCAGGTAGCTTTCCCCAGGTCCCACAGCAGGAGAATGGCGGATTCAGTGTCTCCTGACTTCAGCCACCCAGAGCCACAAGCTTGTGTGAGACGCTCAGTTACGGACACCTACTAGGCCTTCCTGTGCACGATTCGTGTTCACAGCTTCACACTCACCCACAGATGCACACTGAGATCCGAGTGCATCACCAGCGTGTGAATACGCTGGTAGAAACAGCAGGTTGTGTGGGAAGGAAGGGACTGACCGTTTATTGAGCATCTACTGTGGCCTGCCCTCCATGAGCCCCACGGCCACCTTGGGCAGCACGTGGCGATTCCTTTGCATGGGTGAGGAAACGGCATCCCAGAGAGGTTATCTCCTGAGGTCACCAGTGGTAGCTATCGGAGTGTGCTCCATCTCTGGAGGGCCACCGCAGGTGTGTGTGGACCACACGTGGCCAAACCCCCGTGCAGCCGAGTCCTCTCCAGGCCTCCCACCTTTCCAGGGACACGGTCACACCTTCCTCTCCTGTCTGGCCATTGTCCGTCCATCTATCTGTCCCTCCCTGTCCCTGGAGGGAGTGGGGCAGGGGCCGGAGAGGGGCACGCGGCAGATTAATCTGGCCCTGGTGTTCCCAGAGGCCAGGGCTGAGCTAATGATGCACTGATAGAGCTCAGGAGTGTGGAGAGAATTTTAATCGATCTGACAAGTCTAATAAGAACTTGTGTCTGGACGGGTCCTCCTCTGGGGCTGCGGCTGACGCAGCGCTGACGGCTGGTGTCTGTTTACGGGTTGGCATTGCGGCCACCCTCCTGCCAACGCCTGATTAATCTAATTTGAGACGTTTAGAGCCCAGGCGCGGGCGTGGGGCAGGGGAAGGGAGCCATGGAGAGACAGAGGGACGGGGGGGCCTGACAGAGGCCCTAATGAGGAATGTCACAGCCCTGCCCTCATCGGCCCCACCTCCGCCCTGGAGAGGCAGGCACAGTTGGGTGCCCTTGGAGTTGGCTGGGTCGCCAGTGTGGCTTCCTGATGTTCCCTTGGCCACCTTGACAGGGCAGGGCCTGGGAAAGCTCCTACTGTGTGCTGGGCCACGGGCTGGTGGCCAGAGAAGTGAAGGAGGAGGCAGAGTGGCTAGAGGTACCCGAGGGACCCATTCAGGCTCCTCCATGTCACATGCTGTGTGTGACTCTGGGCCATCAACTGTGCCTGGGTCCTCATCACTCCTAAGGCACAGGGGCTGCTGGGATCGTTAAACGGGGCCGGGCCGCAGCTCAGCGCAGAGCACTTACCGCGAGCAGGAAGCCCGGGCTCTGTCCCCGGCACCGAAAAAAGAAAGATTAAACGGGATCGTGTCCACCTGGTGAGTGTGGAACATGGCGGGTGGGGGGCAGGAGCAGCGTCTGTGACCGGGGAGAGGCCACCTGACTTGGCCGTGTGACCTTGGACATGTCACTGGCTTTGCCTAGGGAAGGAGTGGGACCCACGTGAGTCTCGGGTGGAGAGGGCCCCCCACACTCTTCCCCGGTCATTCTGCAGGGGCTGCTGGGGACACTGTGGGGTTTGGGGAGGGGGCCTTGGGCTGCCTGGGTCTGCAGCCTGGCTTCCCGACATGGGAGCTGTGTGACATTGCAAGTTGGTCCCAGACGTCAGCTCCATTGTGTGGAAGGGGCTCAGCCTCGAAGAGCTGGGGTGACAATTCAGTGACCAAAGAGCTCGCGGTGCTGTGAGCGGGTCCACAGGGCCGAGCTCTGGGCGCTGCCAGCTCTTCCTCCTGCCCGTCCTATCACCCCGCTGAGGCCGCGTCCTCCTGGCGGGGCACCCAGCTAGGGGAGACGGCGTGGCCAGAGCCGGGGGTCTCTGCAGGCCAGGCACGGTGTACCACCCACCCCCAGAGCAGGGCAGGGGCAGGTCCAGGGCAGGCAGCAGGCCACAGCCCCCTCTGCTCCACCCCCCGGGAGCCTGGAGGCCAGGACTTCAGGAGGTGGGCTGCCCCTGGGGCTCCTCAGACCCTGGAGGGGCTTACCCTCCTACCACCCACCTGGAGCCTGGCTAGCTCAGGGCACAGGCCAGACACTCCAAAGGGACTCGAGGGCCTTTGAACATCCTTTAGGAACTCAGGGGCCTTGGCCCAGGCCTTCTGTGCCCAACATCTGGAAGAGCGCCATCTCACGTGGCCCTCCTCACAGCAGCCTTGAGCTGGCTGGAATCTGTTCTCCCCAATTTAGAGACGGGGACACAGGCCCAGAGAGGAAGAGTGATTTGCACCAGGTGCTGTGGCCCACACCTGTCATCCCAGCAGCTCGGGAGGCTGAGGCAGGAGGATCACAAGTTCAAGGCCAGCCTCAGCAACAGTGAGGCACTAAGCAACTCAGCGAGACCCTGTCTCCAAATAAAATACAGAATAGGGCTGGGGGTGGGGCCCAGCGGCCGAGTGCCCCTGAGTCAATCCTGGTACCAAAAAACAGTGATTTGCCCAAAGCCACATGAGCAGGAGGTGGCCGCCTCTTTGTCACCACTTTCCTTCCGGCCAAAGGTCACATTGGCTCACCAAGTCCCAGTCTACCACACTGAGCCAGCGATGGCCGAGCTCACGGCATGGCGGGGGAGGCCCAGCTGACCACACCCGTGTGTGTCCTTCAGCCTCGGTGGGGTAATAAATAGCCCCGTTTTACAGGCAAGGATACCGAGGCTCAGGTGGTGAGATGTTAGGCCCTGAAGTTGACAGGTACTGGACTCGAACCTGCGTCACTGGAACCACAAGGTGATCCAGCCCCCAGCAGCTATGGCTACTGTCCAGGAGGCCCCTGCCCTCCCACTCAGCCTGTGTCCATCACCTGCCCCCCACCTGCTCTAGGCAGCAGGCTCCAACCGTGGGAAACGTAGTAGTGACCCCTGGGGGCGGGGCTGGAGTGGGTGTTGGGCCAGGCCTTGGACGCTAGTCCCCTACTGAGGTAGCCAGAGCACACGGAGGATAGGCCAGTGATCACAGCTGCACCCAGACACAGGTAGACACGTGCACCTGGCTCAGGTGGAACTCACGGCACATAGCACCTGCACAAGCCCAGCCACTTCCTCTGTCATCTACTCCCAAAGGTGTGCCTGACTCACGCGTGTGGGCGTGAACACAAGCATTGCTCTTGCACGAACACGCACGCAGCCTCATTCTTGCTTCAGGGAGATTCTTGTTTCTGTTCACAGGGTTCACACACAGGAGTGTGCACCACTCACTCACACACACACACACATCCTCAGATGCTCGTCCATCTCCTCTGCATGACCAGAGGTGCAGGCTCGGCTCCCTGCACCTCGGGGCCCTGGCTCCTCCTCCTGCCGGACCCCTCAGCTCACCCACGAGGCCGCCTTGGCGTTCGGGTGAGGTCTTGCCTGGCTTCACCCATGAGCTGGGCTCAGGGTCCAGAGCAGGCAGGGGGACCTTCCTTATTGCTACCTGGACTCAGGGGACTCCCTGGTCATCCCCCGCAGCTGGGGTAGGTGGAGGGCTGGTGGGAAGAGGCAATTATTCTTCCCTCGACACTGTGGATCCCCTCTGTGCGTCTGTGCCTGCGGAACCCACGAGAAAGCTATGGACATTAAATGTTAGGTGACTGTGTGCCGAGTGCAGGGGGGGGTGAGAGAAGAGCTTCAGGAAGAGGTGGATGGAGGCTGGGGATGTGGCTCAAGAGGTAGTGCGCCCGCCCAGCATGCGTGAGGCGCTGGGTTCGATTCTCAAGCACCACGTAACAACAAAATAAAGATATTGTGTCCACCTAGAACCGAAAAATAGATATTTTTTAAAAAAGAGATGGATGGAAGGAGGGAGAGAAGGAAGAGAAAAAGGAAGGCCAGGATGGACAGATAGATGGCCAAAGGGTGGATGGATGGATGGATGGATGGATCTTTGGAGGGGTAAATGGATGGGTGGATGGATATGTGGATGGACAGATGGGTATGTGGGTGGATGGATGGATGGATGGAGTAAATGGAAGACAGACCAAAAGAACCTCAATTTCTAGGAGTTCCTCTCTCTTTTTTTCCAGCTGCTGTTGATTACCTGGCCAAAAACGTGAGCCTGTCCACCCAGCGTCGCATGAAGCTCGGGGAGCACTCCGCGGTGCTGGGACTCCTGCCGGTGGAGACTGGCCAGGCCTACTAGGCTCCTGGGGCGACTGGCCCCAGCCCGAGGCCCAGCCCACCCCCTCCTGACCCCTGAGCCTCCGCCTCAGTCCCCCTCATCCCCCTGGGGCCACGGGAGACCAGGAGGGGAGCCCGTCCCCTGCTCATAAGCGGCCCTCTGGAGATGTGCAGCCCTCCTGTCAGTCACCTGTGGTTGGGGACCCTCAATGGCCCCTTGGAGTCCCTCCCAGAAGGGTTGAGGCCAACCTGCAATGTCCCCTGCTCAGATCTGCTGTGACCTCCAGGACCCGGGGTGGAGACTGAGGCCCATTCTGAACAGGGCGCCTCGGCCCCAGAGCGGGACGGAGCCTGCGATGCCATCCTGTGGACCCGAGTTCTGCAGCGGGGGGCCCTGGCAGAGGGCAGGGGAAGCTCGGGGTGACCCCGTCAGCTACCAGTGCTGGGAACCGCCCCCCCGCCACCGTGGGTCTTTGGCTCAGCACCAGAACCACAGCTCTTTCCTCCTCAGGACACTGGGGCTCCAGCAGAGGGGACCCTGGGGTCTCCCCAAGGGTGTCAGCAGGGTGACCGTCTCGGCTTCACCCAGGAAGTTGGAGGACCTCAGGACCCTCCCCACACAGCCCTGCTGAGCCCTCGAGGAGACTGGGGAGAGGGCAGAGGCTTGACCAGGGCCGGGGCTGTGGGGGCGGCAGGCTGGTCACACCTGCAGGCCACATCTGCTGGCCCAGAGCGCCAGGACCCACCTCAGGCTCCAGGAGGCAGAGGCTCTTCAACCGAAGCCCCGTTCCAGCCGTGTCCACCCAGACGGGGGGGGTCTGCGAAGCTGCTCAGCTCCCTCCTCAGCGGGGTCGGATGGGACACAGAGGGGACAGTCACCAGCAAAGAGGTGCAAGGTGGCCCAGAAGGGACTTTCCTGACCAAAATCCTTTCACTGGAGGGCGGCCAGCCATGGAGGCCAGATGCGCCGGCCCTTGGCCTCACGTCCACATCCCTGGAGCCAGGATCCCCACAAAAGCTCCTCAGAGACGGGAGCCCACCCTGCACCCTGCTGCAGGAGAGGCCGCCATCTTCCCGCCGTGGGCAGGGTGCAGGGCTTCCGCCAGAGCTTTGGAGGAAGGTCTTGGACTGGGCAGGGGTTGGCTGCCCTCGGATAAGCCTGCCAAGTCCCCTTGGGTGGGGCACGTCCCAGTCCCACCCACCTTTCAGCGCTGACTCCTCTGGGCCAAGAGGCCTCTGTCTCCTGATCGGGTCCAGCTGACCTGGGTGCATGTGGCCATTTCCAAACCGTGGGCCTGGCAGAGGAAGACGCAGAAGGTTCCAGAAAAGAGGAGAAAAGACTCCTTCCTGCCTTCAGCACGCCAGCGGCTTCCTCAAGCTCTGCTCTCCCAAGAGCCGGGGCCTCTGCTTCCCGCCCTGCCCCTCCTCCCCGGGCGCTTCCCACCTTCACCTTCATGGAAACCGTCCACCTTCACCCTCACCCTCTTATACACTTCGCTCAGCTCACCTGCACCAGTGCGGCCGGCTACAGGACACTTGTGATGGGGGACACAGCAAGGAATCCACAAACACTGGACCCTGATGCTTGTCCCCACCTGGGCACGTGAGGCCACCTGTTTGCTCAGTCCAGGCCTCTTGCCCTCAGCCAACGAGACATTCCTAGAGGGAAGGGACGCTGCTTTGGGAGCTCACCTGAGGTCCTTCCTCCTGGAGAGCCAAATGGACAAGAAGCTAGGACACTCGTCCGCATGGACGTCACCTGTGGGACCATGCTCACCTGTTTCTCTTCGTGAGAACTGATCACACCAAGCCGGTCCTGAGCCCTGACCAGGACGGCTCATACCCCGGGGTTTAGAGCCACCTATTGATAACTGAGGACAAATGGGCTCTGTGGTTGCGGTGGGCACCCGGACAGCAGTGGGCACCCGGACAGCAGTGACCCGTCAGGTTCAGCCAACTGGAGCATCCACTCGAAGAGACTTTGGGTTCTTCAAGCTCTGGACAAAAGGGAAGATCTTGTTGTCCCTTGGAAGTGCAGTCCACGCTGTTGTAGCAGAAGGCCAGAAGGCCACTCAGAAGACCAACGCCATCTTCATCCACATTCCTTAACGGCCAATCCTTCCCTGGAGGCCCGGCTCAGAACACGGCTGAGTCTCTTTACAGCCTGTGTGACTCAGGAGCAGGGCTCTCAGGCAGGTGACATCAAAACTGCCCAGCCTAGCACCAATAGTGACATTCCCATGCTAGGACCAATCCCAATTATCTGCCCCCTCTCCCACCGTGAAACAAAATCAAGACCTGCTTGGGAGTCAACCCAGCGATTTGTCATTACATCCATCCATCTGAGTTCTCCCAAGCCACCGTCCTGGTAGACAATGGTACTTACTGGTTTTCCAGGGGACCCTTAACCCTCAACCGATATTCCCTAAAACCCCGTGTATTTGTGGTCTAGCCAACTCACTCTATAAAATTGGATCTTGTGTTGGCAGCTTGCAGCTTCACCGAGAAAATGATATTGGTTGGACGAGAGGCTCGAAGCTTCAATCCCTGGGGGTTGACCACAGCCTAGAAAAAGGCCTTGAAGTCCAGTGGCCAGGCCAGCCCAGAAACAACCCCACCCGTCCCTGTAAATAGAGTCCCTAGCAAGAGCAGAGATGTCTCCTCCAACTGTCCCAAGTAGCTACTGGTCCTACCTATGGGGGCTCCTCTCCTGAGCCCACTGTATATTAGTTGGAAACGTGGTGACGTGCTGTTTGTTTATAGGAAGTTGACTTTTTATATATAAATATATATACTAAAAAAAAAAAGGAAAGAAAACCCCCACAGTGTGTGTCGTGCTAGTGCCAGGGACCATCTGTAGGGATATATCTGCCTATCGTGTGTTCCAGATTATGCATTCCGGGCTCCATTGAGTTCCTTCACTTTGTTGCTTTGTTTTTTCACTTGGTCTTTCTCTCTTGCTATGAAAAAAAAAAAAGTGACGTGTAAGACCCGAGGTATGCTCTTCTACTCTTATTTTTTACTTGATTCACTTTTGATGCTCTTTTGCCAGAGGAACTGAAAGAGCAGAGGAAGCCGAGAAATAGGGGGATAAGGAAAAGAGAGAGAAGACTGCAGACAGAGGTGGGTCGGCCAGAAAACAGGAAGGTCAGATGTCCCACCTGACCGTGGCTGGAGAACAGGACAGGTCCTGGACTTGGAGCAGGCCACCAGCGATCCAGTGTTGTCTCGGATGGAGCTGGTGAAACACTGTGGGATTCGGATCTTGGACCTCAACCCGGAACTCCACGTTTGCCAACTAAAATCTTTCTCTGGATCTTCTCTCGGGCTGATGTTCTCCTCGAGCTCCTGAATGTGTCTTTCCATCTTGGATGCTTTCGGGGTACACGGGTCTTCTCTCCTCCCCTCCTCGCAGAAGCATCAAGCCAAGACCAAATGGGCGCACACTCCAGCCACCATCTTGAATGCTCCGAGACACCTGTGTGCTGGAGGCTTCTTCTGTCAACTTGGACATGGCCAACCCCCTGACCTGGGAAATTGCCACATCGCACTCTAGATCATTCCTCCTTCCTTGTAACGGCAGCACCATTGCTCCCGTGTCTGACTCTCAACAGTTTTCCTCCACATGGAAGAGTGTGTGCGTGGAGAGGGTGTGCGTGGGTGTGTGCGGGCGCGTGAGGGTATGTGTTTAAATATAATCGCACCATAATTTATTCAGCTATATGGAATAGTAGACTAGAAAGAGAAACTGGTATTTGCTTTAACTACCTGCTGCTTGTAAGCGCTGCCTCTGTAACTCAGGCGTAACCGTTATACATTAAAAGAAATTAAAAGCATTTTAAAGGTTCCGTGTACTCCACTGATTGCCATTTGGGGCTGGGGACTGAGGGGTGTCAGGGAAGCCTTTTGACCTAGTACAGAAGGTCAGGGTGGGAACGGGGACTCTCTCGCACCCCACTGAGTCCCCCAGTGCTAAGCAGCTACCAGTATGCAGTTGGTGCCTAATCGATATCTGATCAACAGATGGAGTTGCTGGAGCAGCTCTGAGCTCAGAGGAACAGTGCGATGTCAGAAGGAGAGGGAATTGGGTTCCCTTCGCCACAACAAACTTCCTGTCGCTAAGCTTAGAACCTCCTGAGTTCTCTCCCGGGATACAGGATGGAGAGGCGGGAGAGGGCTTGCAAGCTGGCATGTCACCTGATGTGGGGATTCCTGGGCAGGGAGTTGCTGAGCCCGTGGGGTGGCCTTTTGTGCCCTCCCCGTCCTTGGCTACTGGTGCCCTGGGGTGCGGGTGGCTGAGCAGAGACCCGCGTGTCCTGCAGCTCTGATTGAAATTCTGCAAGAAAGGAGCTGCTGCGAGCTCTTCACAGCATTTCAGGGACATGTGCACTGTCCCCGTAGAGGGGACCTGGGCAGGGGCCAGCAGTGTCCATGCCACCGTGTTCCCCTGGCTCTGAACTGGGGTCTGCACCCCTTTCCAGGGTTCTGGGTTCCTTGGACGGTCTTCTAAACAGGAAGAGGGCAGTAGGGCAGTTTGGGAGAGGAATCATAAATGAAGAATTGACCAAGGTCAAGGTTCCTGTTGACCTGAGCGGGTACGGCCCAGGCCTGGTCCTCCAGGGCAGGACCCAGGGGGAGGCTGGGTTCTCCCAGGGTCTGAGACCAACCGAAGGCTACCCCCAGGACCCTCCCCCATGCGGGGTCCCTGCCGTCCCTGCAAAGTCCCAGCAACTGATGCTCCCGACTTGGATCCATCCCATCCATCGTGTCTGTCCCTCTTCCTCCCCCTCCCCCAGCAGGCCACCATCACTCAGTCAGGAAGACACAGGAGAGAGTCAAGAGCCAGTCAGACCCCACCCTCGCTCTGCGTTAGACTCTTCGTGGGTCCTGGGACAGTTTTCATTTTTAGAGAGCAGGCTGGACACCCTCTAGGGACCCCCCGGTCACCATCACAGTCACCTGAGCTGAAGGCAGGCTTGGAGGAGCCCCGTGGCCTGAGAGCTGGGAGCTGTCTGCCACCGTGCTCCAGAGCGCTCACTGACCCTCTTAGGGGACCTGCCTGGGAAAGGGGGACGGACGTGGGATAGACGCCTGGATCTGCCAGCTTCGCCACAGACGCTGCAGAGCAGTGTCCT